ATCAGCGCATCAGCATCAGCATCAGCATCAGCGCATCAGCATCAGCGCATCAGCATCAGCACCAGCATCAGCATCAGCATCAGCATCCTCGAATCAGCATCAGCGCATCAGCATCAGCGCATCAGCATCAGCGCATCAGCATCAGCGCATCAGCATCAGCGCATCAGCATCAGCGCATCAGCATCAGCGCATCAGCATCAGCGCATCAGCATCAGCATCAGCGCATCAGCATCAGCGCATCAGCATCAGCGCATCAGCATCAGCGCATCAGCATCAGCATCAGCATCAGCGCATCAGCATCAGCGCATCAGCATCAGCGCATCAGCATCAGCGCATCAGCATCAGCGCATCAGCATCAGCGCATCAGCATCAGCATCAGCGCATCAGCGCATCAGCATCAGCGCATCAGCATCAGCGCATCAGCATCAGCATCAGCATCAGCGCATCAGCATCAGCATCAGCATCAGCATCAGCATCAGCATCAGCGCATCAGCATCAGCGCATCAGCATCAGCATCAGCATCAGCATCAGCGCATCAGCATCAGCGCATCAGCATCAGCGCATCAGCATCAGCATCAGCATCAGCATCAGCGCATCAGCATCAGCGCATCAGCATCAGCGCATCAGCATCAGCGCATCAGCATCAGCATCAGCATCAGCATCAGCGCATCAGCATCAGCGCATCAGCATCAGCACCAGCATCAGCATCAGCATCAGCATCCTCGAATCAGCATCAGCGCATCAGCATCAGCGCATCAGCATCAGCATCAGCATCAGCATCAGAATCAGCATCAGCATCAGCGCATCAGCATCAGCGCATCAGCATCAGCATCAGAATCAGCATCAGAATCAGCATCAGCATCAGCATCAGCGCATCAGCATCAGCGCATCAGCATCAGCGCATCAGCATCAGCATCAGCGCATCAGCATCAGCGCATCAGCATCAGCGCATCAGCATCAGCATCAGCATCAGCATCAGCGCATCAGCATCAGCGCATCAGCATCAGCATCAGCATCAGCGCATCAGCATCAGCATCAGCATCAGCGCATCAGCATCAGCGCATCAGCATCAGCATCAGCGCATCAGCATCAGCGCATCAGCATCAGCGCATCAGCATCAGCGCATCAGCATCAGCGCATCAGCATCAGCGCATCAGCATCAGCGCATCAACATCAACGCATCAGCATCAGCATCAGCGCATCAGCATCAGCGCATCAGCATCAGCGCATCAGCATCAGCGCATCAGCATCAGCGCATCAGCATCAGCGCATCAGCATCAGCGCATCAGCATCAGCGCATCAGCATCAGCGCATCAGCATCAGCGCATCAGCATCAGCGCATCAGCATCAGCGCATCAGCATCAGCATCAGCATCAGCGCATCAGCATCAGCGCATCAGCATCAGCGCATCAGCATCAGCGCATCAGCATCAGCGCATCAGCATCAGCGCATCAGCATCAGCATCAGCGCATCAGCGCATCAGCATCAGCGCATCAGCATCAGCATCAGCGCATCAGCATCAGCGCATCAGCATCAGCATCAGCATCAGCGCATCAGCATCAGCGCATCAGCATCAGCGCATCAGCATCAGCATCAGCATCAGCGCATCAGCATCAGCATCAGCGCATCAGCATCAGCGCATCAGCATCAGCATCAGCATCAGCATAAGCATCAGCATCAGCATCAGCATCAGCGTCAGCATCAGCATCAGCAGCAGCATCAGCATCAGCATCAGCATCAGCGCATCAGCATCAGCAGCGCATCAGCACCAGACGGCATCAGCATCAGCATCAGCATCAGCGCATCAGCGCATCAGCGCATCAGCATCAGCATCAGCATCAGCGTATCAGCATCAGCATCAGCATCAGCGCATCAGCATCAGCGCATCAGCATCAGCGCATCAGCATCAGCGCATCAGCATCAGCGCATCAGCATCAGCGCATCAGCATCAGCATCAGCGCATCAGCATCAGCATCAGCGCATCAGCATCAGCGCATCAGCATCAGCGCATCAGCATCAGCGCATCAGCGCATCAGCATCAGCGCATGAGCATTAGCATCAGCGCATCAGCATCAGCGCATCAGCATCAGCGCATCAGCATCAGCGCATCAGCATCAGCGCATCAGCATCAGCGCATCAGCATCAGCGCATCAGCATCAGCGCATCAGCATCAGCGCATCAGCATCAGCGCATCAGCATCAGCATCAGCGCATCAGCATCAGCGCATCAGCATCAGCGCATCAGCATCAGCATCAGCATCAGCGCATCAGCATCAGCATCAGCATCAGCGCATCAGCATCAGCATCAGCATCAGTGCATCAGCATCAGCGCATCAGCATCAGCGCATCAGCATCAGCGCATCAGCATCAGCATCAGCATCAGCATCAGCGCATCAGCATCAGCATCAGCATCAGCATCAGCGCATCAGCATCAGCGCATCAGCATCAGCATCAGCATCAGCGCATCAGCATCAGCGCATCAGCATCAGCACCAGCATCAGCATCAGCATCAGCATCAGCGCATCAGCATCAGCGCATCAGCATCAGCGCATCAGCATCAGCATCAGCATCAGCATCAGCAACAGCATCAGCATCAGCGCATCAGCATCAGCGCATCAGCATCAGCATCAGCATCGGCATCAGCATCAGCATCAGCATCAGAATCAGCATCAGCATCAGCATCAGCGCATCAGCATCAGCGCATCAGCATCAGCGCATCAGCATCAGCATCAGCGCATCAGCATCAGCATCAGCATCAGCATCAGCGCATCAGCATCAGCGCATCAGCATCAGCGCATCAGCATCAGCATCAGCATCAGCGCATCAGCATCAGCGCATCAGCATCAGCATCAGCGCATCAGCATCAGCGCATCAGCATCAGCGCATCAGCATCAGCGCATCAGCATCAGCGCATCAGCATCAGCGCATCAGCATCAGCGCATCAGCATCAGCATCAGCGCATCAGCATCAGCGCATCAGCATCAGCATCAGCGCATCAGCATCAGCGCATCAGCATCAGCGCATCAGCATCAGCATCAGCATCAGCATCAGCATCAGCGCATCAGCATCAGCATCAGCATCAGCATCAGCGCATCAGCATCAGCGCATTAGCAACAGCGCATCAGCATCAGCGCATCAGCATCAGCGCATCAGCATCAGCATCAGCATCAGCATCAGCATCAGCATCAGCATCAGCATCAGCATCAGCATCAGTGCATCAGCATCAGCATCAGCGCATCAGCATCAGCGCATCAGCATCAGCGCATCAGCATCAGCGCATCAGCATCAGCGCATCAGCATCAGCATCAGCATCAGCATCAGCATCAGCGTCAGCATCAGCATCAGCAGCAGCATCAGCATCAGCATCAGCATCAGCGCATCAGCATCAGCAGCACATCAGCATCAGACGTCAGCATCAGCGCATCAGCATCAGCGCATCAGCATCAGCGCATCAGCATCAGCATCAGCATCAGCGCATCAGCATCAGCATCAGCGCATCAGCATCAGCATCAGCATCAGCGCATCAGCATCAGCGCATCAGCATCAGCGCATCAGCATCAGCATCAGCATCAGCGCATCAGCATCAGCGCATCAGCATCAGCGCATCAGCATCAGCGCATCAGCATCAGCATCAGCGCATCAGCATCAGCGCATCAGCATCAGCATCAGCGCATCAGCATCAGCGCATCAGCATCAGCGCATCAGCATCAGCATCAGCGCATCAGCATCAGCGCATCAGCATCAGCGCATCAGCATCAGCATCAGCATCAGCATCAGCGCATCAGCATCAGCATCAGCGCATCAGCATCAGCGCATCAGCATCAGCGCATCAGCATCAGCATCCGCATCAGCATCAGCATCAGCATCAGCATCAGCAGCAGCATCAGCATCAGCATCAGCATCAGCGCATCAGCATCAGCAGCGCATCAGCATCAGACGTCAGCATCAGCGCATCAGCATCAGCGCATCAGCATCAGCGCATCAGCATCAGCGCATCAGCATCAGCATCAGCATCAGCGCATCAGCATCAGCGCATCAGCATCAGCGCATCAGCATCAGCGCATCAGCATCAGCATCAGCGCATCAGCATCAGCGCATCAGCATCAGCATCAGCATCAGCGCATCAGCATCAGCATCAGCATCAGCGTCAGCATCAGCATCAGCGCATCAGCATCAGCGCATCAGCATCAGCGCATCAGCATCAGCATCAGCATCAGCATCAGCGCATCAGCATCAGCATCAGCATCAGCGCATCAGCGCATCAGCATCAGCGCATCAGCATCAGCGCATCAGCATCAGCGCATCAGCATCAGCGCATCAGCATCAGCGCATCAGCATCAGCGCATCAGCATCAGCGCATCAGCATCAGCGCATCAGCATCAGCGCATCAGCATCAGCGCATCAGCATCAGCATCAGCATCATCAGCATCAGCATCAGCATCAGCGTCAGCATCAGCATCAGCATCAGCGCATCAGCATCAGCGCATCAGCATCAGCATCAGCATCAGCATCAGCATCAGCATCAGCATCAGCGCATCAGCATCAGCGCATCAGCATCAGCATCAGCGCATCAGCATCAGCATCAGCATCAGCGCATCAGCGCATCAGCATCAGCGCATCAGCATCAGCGCATCAGCATCAGCGCATCAGCATCAGCATCAGCGCATCAGCATCAGCGCATCAGCATCAGCGCATCAGCATCAGCGCATCAGCATCAGCGCATCAGCATCAGCGCATCAGCATCAGCGCATCAGCATCAGCGCATCAGCATCAGCGCATCAGCATCAGTGCATCAGCATCAGCGCATCAGCATCAGCGCATCAGCATCAGCATCAGCGCATCAGCATCAGCGCATCAGCATCAGCGCATCAGCATCAGCGCATCAGCATCAGCATCAGCATCAGTGCATCAGCATCAGCGCATCAGCATCAGCGCATCAGCATCAGCGCATCAGCATCAGCATCAGCGCATCAGCATCAGCATCAGCATCAGCATCAGCGCATCAGCATCAGCGCATCAGCATCAGCGCATCAGCATCAGCGCATCAGCATCAGCGCATCAGCATCAGCGCATCAGCATCAGCGCATCAGCATCAGCGCATCAGCATCAGCGCATCAGCATCAGCGCATCAGCATCAGCGCATCAGCATCAGCATCAGCGCATCAGCATCAGCGCATCAGCATCAGCGCATCAGCATCAGCGCATCAGCATCAGCGCATCAGCATCAGCATCAGCGCATCAGCATCAGCGCATCAGCATCAGCGCATCAGCATCAGCGCATCAGCATCAGCATCAGCGCATCAGCATCAGCGCATCAGCATCAGCATCAGCATCAGCGCATCAGCATCAGCGCATCAGCGTCAGCATCAGCATCAGCATCAGCATCAGCATCAGCATCAGCATCAGCATCAGCATCAGCATCAGCATCAGCATGAGCATCAGCCTGGTGCCGTGAGGCAAATGACAATGCCCACGCTCCGTGTCTACAACTCATGTTTCCACACCCTCTCCCACCCACCCTCCATCCCCCAACAGCAGTCTGGATTCCAACAAGGAGGTGCGGCAGATTGTGAAGATGCGAGTGGAGATGGAGCGACAGGCACAACTTGGGATTGAACACCTTCCCCAACCCACTTCCCGCCCCGTGTGTCCATACATACGAACGTGTCCCCTCTCCCTTCCCTCTTCCCCTCTGTGCCCCGCCCCCCCCAACAGCAGTCTGGATTCAAATGAGGAGGTGCAGAAAATAGTGAAGATGCGAGTGGCGATGCGAGTGGAGATGGCACGGCAGGCGTAACTTGGGATTCAACACCTTCCCCAACCCACTTCCCGCCCTCATACCTCCCCTCTGTGTCCCCCCAACAGCAGTCTGGATTCAAACGAGGAGGTACAGCAAATTGTGAAGATGCGAATGGATATGGAACGGCAGGCATCCGCAGCAGCAGCATCAGCCACCCACGGCTCATCCACTCGCCTTGACATGGGCATGGGCATGGGCATGGGCGTTGGGATGGGCATGGGCATGGGCATGAGCGGAATGGGCATGGGGAAGGGCTTATCTGGTGTAGGTGCTACTGCTGCCTCTTCTTCCTCCTCTGCCGCTGCTGCTGCTGCTCGTCGTGCTGCTGTTTTGGATCGGGCTATGGGGGGGAGTGGAGGGCTGGATGGGAGGGCGATGGAGGGGCGAGGGGTGGATTTACGGGACGGGAGGGGCGGTGCAGGAGGAGGGTCGGGGTCGTTTTTCGACACAGGGCAGAAGGCGAAGAAGAAACCAGGCTCGGGTGCAGGTTCGGGCGTTGGTTCGGGGGTTGGTTCGGTGCTTGACGGACCCACAGCGGAAACGCTTCGGAAAGTATTAGATGATGATGATGATGATGATGATGACGAGGAGGAGGAGGAGGAAGAGGAGGAGGAAGAGGAGGAAGAGGAAGGGGAGGATGAGGACGAAGAAGGGGACGAGGATGAGGACGATAGTGGTAGTGTGGTGGATCGAAGCATAAACGCCCCTCTGTACAAACGATCAGCAACAGCTTCAAAAGTTTCGCGGGAAGAACTTTTCCACCTGCCCGTGCCCGACCCCAGCCAATACAATCGCTCGAGAAGCGTGCCGAAATCCCACGACCGCCTTAAAGGGGGCAGAGGAGGTGGGGATGGCGGAGGAACATCGGCAGAAAAAGCCGAGCGAGGAGAGAAAGGAGAAAGGGGAGAGAGGGGAGAGAGAGGCGAGAGAGGGGAGAGGGGCGAGAGGGGGGAGAGAGGAGAGAAGGGCGAGAGGAGAGAAAGGTTGGGGTTGAGCAGAGGGGGGAGCGCAGGCGGGCCAACAAAGACCCTCTTTCTCGAAGCCAGCGGCTCCTCCTCCTCTGCTGGGTTTGGCCTCTCCCTCTCCCCCCGAGGAGGCGACAGAGGAGCGCGAGGAGAGAGGGGAGAGAGAGGCGGAGAGAGAGGAGGAGGGGGGGCGGCGGGGGCGGGCGGAGTGCTGACGGTGTCTAAGCCGTGGAGCCCGCTGCCTCTGACAGCGTCCAACCAGCTGGGGGGAGCGCGCGGGGCCAAGTCGTTCACCGGGGGATCTGCCTTCCTGGAGTCGCTGCCTGAGGAGGACAAGAAGCTCATCCGGGGATTCAAGGTGGGTCACGGCATGGAGATGCTGCGGGTCCGCGGTTCCGCGGGTTCAAGGTGCGTTCAAGGTCCAATCCTTGAATTTGGTGCTGGGATTGGTTTTGAGGCGCCTCAAAGCTGGGATTGGAGGCACCAAATTGTTTTTGAGAATTCTCAGAAACAATCTTGAATTTGGTGCTGGGATTGGAGGCACCAAACTCCTTCTCCACGCGGATTGGAGGCACCAAACTCCTCCTCCACGCGGATTGGAGGCACCAAACTCCTTCTCCACGCGGATTGGAGGCACCAAACTCCTTCTCCACGCGGATTGGAGGCACCAAACTCCTTCTCCACGCGGATTGGAGGCACCAAACTCCTTCTCCACGCGGATTGGAGGCACCAAACTCCTTCTCCACGCGGATTGGAGGCACCAAACTCCTTCTCCACGCGGATTGGAGGCACCAAACTCCTTCTCCACGCCTCTTTCCTTTCTCCACTTTCGCCCTGCTCTCCCCACTCCCCTCCTCCCCCCCCCCACAGGTGCTGGTAGTTGGAAGACGATTTAGTCAACTGCACCATAAGTCGCTAACTCCTGGAGCTGTTCTCCTGCCGCGTCACGCTCACGCGCAACGGCCGCGATGCTCTAGATCTCATGCGGGGGGGAACAGACCTGGAGCTGCAGGCGCAGGAGGCAGCAGTTGCGGCTACAGGGGACAGCACACCCCTGCTCCACCACTCTCCACACCTCACCACCCCTCTCTCCTTCATTTCCGTTCCCGTCCGCAGGTCCTAGTGGTGGAGTGGAGGACGATATAGTCAACTGCACCAACTTTTTTAGTCAACTGCACCAACTTTTTTAGTCAACTGCACCAACTTTTTTAGTCAACTGCACCAACTTTTTTAGTCAACTGCACCAACTTTTTTAGTCAACTGCACCAACTTTTTTAGTCAACTGCACCAACTTTTTTAGTCAACTGCACCAACTTTTTTAGTCAACTGCACCAACTTTTTTAGTCAACTGCACCAACTTTTTTAGTCAACTGCACCAACTTTTTTAGTCAACTGCACCAACTTTTTTAGTCAACTGCACCAACTTTTTTAGTCAACTGCACCAACTTTTTTAGTCAACTGCACCAACTTTTTTAGTCAACTGCACCAACTTTTTTAGTCAACTGCACCAACTTTTTTAGTCAACTGCACCAACTTTTTTAGTCAACTGCACCAACTTTTTTAGTCAACTGCACCAACTTTTTTAGTCAACTGCACCAACTTTTTTAGTCAACTGCACCAACTTTTTTAGTCAACTGCACCAACTTTTTTAGTCAACTGCACCAACTTTTTTAGTCAACTGCACCAACTTTTTTAGTCAACTGCACCAACTTTTTTAGTCAACTGCACCAACTTTTTTAGTCAACTGCACCAACTTTTTTAGTCAACTGCACCAACTTTTTTAGTCAACTGCACCAACTTTTTTAGTCAACTGCACCAACTTTTTTAGTCAACTGCACCAACTTTTTTAGTCAACTGCACCAACTTTTTTAGTCAACTGCACCAACTTTTTTAGTCAACTGCACCAACTTTTTTAGTCAACTGCACCAACTTTTTTAGTCAACTGCACCAACTTTTTTAGTCAACTGCACCAACTTTTTTAGTCAACTGCACCAACTTTTTTAGTCAACTGCACCAACTTTTTTAGTCAACTGCACCAACTTTTTTAGTCAACTGCACCAACTTTTTTAGTCAACTGCACGATATAGCCGGCAACTTCTCGAACTTTTATCTTGTCGTGTCACGCTCACACGCAACGGCCGTGACGCCTTAGACCTCATGCGGGGCGGAACAGACCTGGAGCTGCAAGCGCAGGAGGCAGCAGTGGCGGCAGCAGGGGGCGCGGAGGAGGCCCGGCACTCCCTCTCCACCCCTCTCCACGCCTCACTCCTTCATCCACTTTCCTCCTTGCTCTCCCCACTCCCTCCCCCCCACTCTCCCCTTCCCCTCCCCTCCCCCCCAGGTGCTGGTGGTAGAGGATGACATAGTCAACTGCACGATAAGTCGCCAACTTCTCGAACTCCTCTCCTGCCGTGTGACCCTCACACGCAATGGCCGAGACGCGCTTGATCTCATGCGGGGCGGAACAGACCTGGAGCTGCAGGCGCAGGAGGCAGCAGTGGCGGCCGCAGGAGGCGCGGAGGAGGGCGCAGAGGTGGCCCCGCAGTTTGACCTGGTGCTGATGGATCTGAACATGCCTGTGATGGATGGGATTAAAGCGGTGGAGCAGTTTAGGGAGTGGGAGGAGCTTGCGGAACCTCGACGGCAGGCCACACTCATCTTTGCTGTGACCGCAAACGTCTCAGGTGAGAGAGCTTCTTTTCTGGGGCTTAAAGCGTGGTTGGGTTGTGTGTGGAGATAGGTGGCGCCGCAGTTTGACCTGGTGCTGATGGATCTGAACATGCCTGTGATGGATGGGATTAAAGCGGTGGAGCAGTTTAGAGAGTGGGAGGAATTGGCGGAGCCACGACAGCAGGCCACACTCATCTTTGCTGTGACCGCAAACGTCTCAGGTGAGAGAGCTTCTTTTCTGGGGCTTAAAGCGTGGTTGGGTTGTGTGTGGAGATAGGTGGCGCCGCAGTTTGACCTGGTGCTGATGGATCTGAACATGCCTGTGATGGATGGGATTAAAGCGGTGGAGCAGTTTAGGGAGTGGGAGGAACTTGCGGAACCTCGACGGCAGGCCACACTCATCTTTGCTGTGACCGCAAACGTCTCAGGTGAGAGAGCTTCTTTTCTGGGGCTTAAAGCGTGGTGGGGTTGTGTGTGGAGATAGGTGGCGCCGCAGTTTGACCTGGTGCTGATGGATCTGAACATGCCTGTGATGGATGGGATTAAAGCGGTGGAGCAGATTAGGGAGTGGGAGGAATTGGCGGAGCCACAACGGCATGCCACTCTGATATTCGCTGTGACAGCTAATGTCTCAGGTGAGAGAGAGGTGTTCATCAGGGGCTTGATGAATATTCCCCCTCACTACTCCCCCCTCCCCTTCACTCCCTTTCGCAACCCTTTCGTCCAAACCCACATCTCTGTCCCTTCTTCTCCCCGCTCCCCCGCTCCCCAGACAGCAACATGGTGAAGTGCGCACAGAAGGGATTTGACGAGTTTAGGAGCAAACCGCTGATGAGAAAATTCACCTTACCTTTCCACCCTCCCGCTCCCACTCCCCTCTACCCTCCTCCCCTCCTCCCCCTCCTTTCCCCAGACGGCAAACGGTGAGGTTCTGTTGTTGCTGTGGAGGAGGGAGGGAGATGGATGGAGTTAGCGTTCATCATATGAACACCTACACAGTTTCCATTGTATTACAGTTTTTTTACTTCAGATATGATCATAGAAGAAGGGATCTGATCAGAAGTAAAAAACTGTAGTACAGTGGAAACTGTGTGGGTGTTCTTATGATGAACGTTAACTCCACCCCTCTCTTTCCCTCCTCCACAATGTCAACGTACCCAAACTCCTTTTAACATCTATCATCAACCGTACTGTATGTCCCTTTCTATTGATTTAATAAGAGATTTTCTTCAATTGGTGAATCTCCCGTCTTTCTTCGCACCCCACTCCTCTTCCAGACGGCAACATGGTGAAGTGTGCACAGAAGGGATTCGACGAGTTCCTGAGCAAGCCACTGACGCCCGAGAAGCTGCTGAACCGCCTGCGCGAGGTGTGCCGGCGCCAAACCATCCACCGCGCCCTCTGACCCTCACAGCCTCTCATCTTCTCACCCTCCGCTCTCGCACAGCCCAACTCTTACAGTCGAACAGACAGTCTGATTCTCTGACGGCCTGATGCCTTGACAGTCTGATGCTCTTGCCGGGCTGACAACGACTGCTGTGCGGTAGCGGTAGATTTTGAAATCTGTGGCCTCTCGTGTCTAGTCGTCCATGCCTGCGTGCAACAACATTGTGCTCTGGCGGGGTCTGGTCTGGTCTGTCGATGTGTTCCATGCATTCCTTCCTATTCTACAGGGCCTTTGGTACTGTACTGCAAGCAAGCCATGTTTGTTTCTGTTCTCCGAGTGCTTGTTAATTTCTTTTTGCTTGTATCTATATCTACAGCACACTGCTTATCGGTCTTCTCTAGCTTCGTCTTCACTGTTATTCGCTGAATATATGGCCAAAGGGAGATATTCCTTGCACAGAATGACTTCTACATGTGACAAAGTTATCTTGGCCTATGTGTATTTTCAATCTTGGAATATGTAGTATGTAATAAGCCATCACACGCTATTTCCTGTGTCGAGTGCCTTTCTTAAAACGAGGTCGGCTCAACCCTGTCACCTTGTCAACCATTTTTCCACTTTCTGTCTCGGCGTTTCCCCCCTGCGACCAAAACCATGGCTGCCGCAGCAGCATCCTCGCGGCTCGCAGCCACCGCATCTCGGATCCATGTTGTTACGATTGGCACTCGTAACAACTCGACGAGCGCCGCTATATCAAATACTCGTAACTTGTTCCGTTTTCCTGACACAATGAGTGTGAATATCGCAATGAGTAACGCAGCAAGTGTCCTTAACGCGGTCAGTGGTTGTGCGAGCAGCGCGACGGCTCCACGCGCGACAGGCGCGCGCGCGCAGGAGCCCTTTTCCCGCGCCCCCGCCGCCACTGTCGCGCATCCGCGCTGGGGCTGGGGGCCGCGGGGGTGCTATTCGCGCGCGACACTCCGCCTGGACACGTGGCACAGCGCGAGATCGACCCAGTGTTGCGCATTCGTCGCTTCAGGGCGAGGGAGTAGCAGGAGAGCAGGGGAAGGATCTGAAGGAGAGTTAGGTGACGTTAGTGCGGTGTCGAGACATGCCTATAAAGGGGATGAAACAGACGGGTTTGATGAGATCGACGGTGAGGGTTGGCTGGACGGTGACGCCACGGACGGCGACGACGCCTGGCTGGAAAACGGCCGTGTATCGGCGCGATCAAATATACTCGATACGAGCAGCAGCAGTAACGCGAACAGCAGCAGTAGCAGCAGCGCAGTTTCGTCTAACGGCCAGTCGTGGTTGACGGAGGGGGAAGGCGGGTCGGCCCCAGGGGAAGAGGGAGTGCCCGCAGGGCCGCTGGGGGGGAAGCTGGGGAACGCGGAGCGGAAGGAGCTCCGCGCGTATGCGCACCGCATGGGCAGCCGAATAAGCACGCACCAGGTGAGACCCTCCCCAGGTGAGAACTCCCTCGGGTGAGATCTCTGGTGAGAAAGGTACTTCAAGTGAGGCAGGGTTTTTTATCCTCTGCAACCCAAGGGTTTATGAAGGTTCAGGGCTCCACGAAACTGGTTATGCTCCGTGTCAGAGACAGGGCCAGGGTCACGGTCAGGGTCAGGGTCAGGTTTAGGGTAAGGGTAAGGGTGACGGATAGGGCGAGGTCCAGGGTTGGGGTTTTCACGAAAGGTACAGGCAGCATTGCGGTCACAGGGTGGAGGTAGCCTGTGATTGTATTGAGAGTGGCGGAGCTGGTGACTGAAATGGAGGCTTCGTGACCTGACCTGACAGACAGCAATCAGAGGGCAACTGCACAGGGTTACCACCACCAGGGGGGGTTGTTTGTATCTGACTTGGCTGAATCTGCCTTGCTTGCCCTTGTGTTGCCTACGTTCCCTTGCTTGTGTTCGGCTTGCTTGCATTCGCCTTGCCTGTGTGTGCCTGGTATGTCACGGCCTGATAGCATGCAGATTGGCAAGTGGGGAGTCACGTCCACAGTCATCACCTCCCTGCATGACGGCCTGGAGAAGCACGAATTGCTCAAGGTGAGAGTCTGGCAGTCCCTCACGGTCGTTCTTCTTAGTAGCTCCCTGACTTCTAGTGGTTTTTCTACCCCCACAATTTGTTTCCAATGTCAGTGGTAATCATTCCACACCCGGCTGGCAAGGTTCTGACATTCTCAGTTTCTGAAATTCCCAGTTTCTGAAATTCCCAGTTTCTGAAATTCCCAGTTTCTGAAATTCCCAGTTTCTAATATTCCCAGTTTCTTCATGCTTGGCCTTCTTATTTTCTATTCAGATAAAGATTTCCGACAACTGCCCAGATGAGGCATGGGAGGTGGGGCAGATCCTGGAGGAGAAACTAGCAGCTCAGGTGGTGGGGTTGATTGGCCGCACGGCTCTGCTTTATCGGCCTAGCCTCACTAAGCTGGCACGAGAAGAGGCTATGGCAAAAAAGGAACGAGAGCTTGAGATGAGGAGGAGGAGAAGAGCGATGGGTGGAGGGGCAGAGCGGGGTGGAAGGAGGCAGGACTCTGGAAGAGGGAGGAGAGGAATTGGGGAAGAGGAGTCTAGAAGTGCTGGTTGGGGGAGAAGTGGTGGAGCGGGACGGGGGGGAGGCAGGCAAGGTCGAGGAGGGATGCAGAGAAGGGGAAGGTAGAGAGTCTTATGGGGTTATACGGCTTACAGTTTCAGTTTAGAGTGGTGTTTTTTTCAGAGCACCAGTTTGATTCTTTGTAACAGCCTCAGTTATGTATATCAGGTTGATAGAATCAGTAAGGACTAGGGACGTACAGTGCTACAAGTATTTGATCATTGGTAGCATACCATGGTATGTTGTCGGTAGTCCATACCGAGAGATGCGTCAAGTGCAATGTTGCGCACTCCGAAATATTACGAATCTCTTTGGAGGGTGTGCTGTGCTAACTTTCAACTCTTGACGGGCTGGAGCCTCGAACGATGTTAGCGTCGTAAATTATATTCGACTTGTCAAGCTGATCAGAAAATCGTGGAGGGCATAGACCTTAAAATGGTTCTTTAGTATGTTTATACATTGTTAAACGAAGCAGTATACGAAACTATATGTCTCGCGCATGCAGTTATGCCACATTTTTTATCCCAATATAACCGAAGTATACACTTCTTCAATCGGAAGTACAAATCTCCTCAAATCCATCACCGGTTGTTAGTAAAGCGTTTCATTTCAAGTCTTCCGTGTCCCTTGATCCCAGCTGTCCACAGCCGGGCTCTCTCACCTGACGGGTGTACCCTCGCCCTACTCCGTGAAGCCAACGAAACAAGGATTCTCGCCGGCATTGTAGACCGTCAGCTACGTCGCCTTTCAAACTAGCGAAAGTATTGTCCTTCGCAATGCCAGCTTTGACCGTTCGCGGACGTATGGGCGGTGGAATTTCTGCCCTCCTTGTGATGTTGTCGTCTAAACTGTCGGTCACAGCCACACCCACCACTCGCGTACACATGTCGGCACAGGTGTGCGAGAAGTGTGGCTGTGCTGTTTCCATACTCTCCGAAGCGCCTCAAATCATTCTTCCTATCCAAAATCGTACCCGTTGAATCTTGCAGTCCCGAGCATGACAGCCGTAGATAACCCAACAAAACAATTCCATTCCCCCCTTCGAGCCACCAGGCGTCCCCAGACAGCTAACCAGGGTGTTCACAGTCCCGCGTCGCGCAGGCGTATCCCCGCGCCGCATGTCTTCCTCACATTGGGGGCAAGCTCCTCACCTCACTCCCACCCACCCACCAACTCGCCAATGGCGGGGATAGCCCCATGCTGACCTCATCAATCAGTTGTCACCCAAATCCAGCCCACTCGGCGGCTAAACCTGCGCGCACTCTCACTAGTATAAACTCAATCTGGATCTTCAGGCTGAAGCATCTCAGATCATTTACTGCTACAACGAAGCGAACAGGGGCGAACAATAAGCATTTAGGAATTCTAATCAGCAGATATTCTCCAGCTTTTCGCTGCTCAGCTCTCAACCTAGTTTTTGCATTCATTCCAGTACTTGTGTCTCAGCGCACGAACTATCTTTCACCCTGCTGGTAGAGGTTGCATAACAAATCCGCACGTTCTATCAGCATGTCGACCGTTCTGCGGCAGTGGCAAATGCCACCTGCTAGAGCCTCGCTCACGGCGCTCCTCCTCCTGATCTCCGCTGCGACGCTCGTTTCCTGCGAGCAGCGCCTCTCCTACTCGGGATTCGCGACCAACGAGGATGGCGTACTCGTCGCGAAGCAAAGCCGGGTTACCCTTTTCAAGCGTAATTCGCCGAACTCAAAATCGTCTCCCTCCAACGGCAAATCCGCGTTCGCGAAGAAGCAAAAGCAAGCCGAAGCAGAGATGATCGCGGCGGCGGCCAGCAAGCGCACCAAAAGCCCGAGCAAAGCCCGCTCCTTCAGCAGCATCTTCGGCAGTCTCGTCTCGAAGCCCGCTGCGCAAGACACGCCAGTAGCGGCGGCGCCGTCGCTCACCATTTTCTGCGCGCCGAAGCCCTACTCGTCAATTCTTGATCCCAAGGATCCGCAGCCGGACAACCAGATCCGCGCGCTGCGCTCCTGGCTGCGCCTGACGCCTTCCCCGAAGATCGTGCTTCTGGGGAACGACTCGACTTTCTCCGAGCTCGCGCGTCGCTTCCCGAAGCAGGTCTCCGTGGAATCCGCTATCGATACTAACTACTACGGCCTGCCGCAGTTTCACAGTATCGTGGCGCGCGCGCAAGCGGCGGACACGGACCTGTCGATGATCATCAACGGCGATATCATCCTCCTTAACAACGTCTTCGATGCAATCAACAAGGTTCACAAGACGTTCCCGCACTGGGTGATGACCGCGGCGCGGTGGGACGTGGCGGAGGATTTTCCCTACACCTTCTTCCCCTCCATGTGGGCGAATGCGCGGAGCCGCGGTCCCGCGGCGCTCGAGAAGGAAATCGCGGAGTATGCGCGGACTAAGGGATCGCTGCACACGTATGGCGGGGTGGATTTCTGGGTGTGGAATAACTCCCCCGTGCAGCTTCACACGGGTATCATGCCGCCATTCGCGTTCGGGCGCGGCAAGTACGACAACTGGTTCACGCACGAGATCGTCGCATCGGGCCTTCGCGAAGTCGTTGACGCGAGCGACGCGGTGACGTCCATCCACGTGGCGCACTCCTACGCGCACGTGACGGAATCCGCGGAGACGAAGAACGGCGCGGCGGCGCTCGCGGGGAAGAACTTCTGGAGCACGCGGAAGAAGAGCAGCTGGGAGCTCTTCGCGAACATCCACCTCGCGCAAACCCACGGCTCTTACTCCAACCAGCTCGGAACCGCCCTCCACGTGCCGTGGAAAATGTCTTCCTGCTTCGAGCCGGCCGTGAACAACATGTGCCTGCAGCGCCGCCTCCGCCCCGCGACCTGCCAGTGCGAATACTCCAACTTCGTCGATATCAGCCAGTCGGATCCCAAGATCGATCCGTCCGGCCGCAGATGGACCTGCGGCAGCGTGTCCGTCGATAAGAAGGCGGATTACTCGATCCAGGCCGTTCCCACCCCGGGATCCGCGGTGGGGCTGCCTCACACGGCGGCGCAGCTGCTTCAGCAGGTGGCGCGCGAGGTGGGGGGGCTGAAGGTGGTGATTCTGGTCGCGGTGACCATGGGGTACGCGGAGATGCTCATGAGCTTCGTGTGCCGCCTGCGCGGGCTGGGTCTGGCGGACAACCTCGTGGTTGCCGCGCTCGACGAGGACTTGTACCGATTCGCCTTCTCCCAGGGGCTCGCTGTGTATCACGAGCAGGTAAGCGCACAATGCGGTTCAGATCCGCCCCCTCTCTGTTTTCTCTCTTCCCTACCCGATGTCGTCCCGCACAGTACCGTCTTTCTGCCCATCGCCCTGTCATTTCCCTCCTTCGTTTTCCCTAACCCCATCCTTCCTTCCCTTTCCTCTCCTCCCTTCCGACCGTGCAGGTGAGCGTGGGCTACCAGGGACTCAACTCCAAGGACTGTGTGTTCGGCAGCCAGTGCTTCCGCCAGTTCACCAAGCTCAAGTCGCGCTCCGTGCTCAAGGTGCTCCAGCAGGGCTACTCCGTGCTCTGGACCGACGTCGATATCGTCTGGTTCTCCGACCCTCTCCCGGACCTCATGAGCTACGGCCCGGGCACCTTCCCGATCCAGAGCAACGAGCCGAATGGGTCGATTCCAGGCACGGGAATTCGGCGGATCAACTCGGGGTTCTACTTTGCTAGGTCTGATCCGAAGACCATAGAGGCATTCGAGGCGATCACAGCGCACGCTGCCACGACTAAGCTATCTGAGCAGCCGAGCTTTTATGATATCCTGTGCGGTGTGAAGGGAGAGAACCTGGTGGCTGGGAAGGAGGAGTGCCGGTGGCAGAACGGCCTGCGAACCATTTTCCTCGACCGCAAGGTGTACCCGAATGGTGCGGTTCACAACTACTGGGAGCATGAGGACGTGCTTGGGAACTGCCTGAAGAATGGATGCACCATCCTGCACAACAACTGGATCGCAGGGAAGGATGCTAAGAAGAACCGGTTCATGGTGAACAAGTTCTGGCATTACGATCCTGAGAGGAGGATGTGCACGTGGAGGTGGCACTCCAAGCTGCCTGCTGTGGCACATGCTGACACTGTGCAAGCTCAATAAGGGCAGGGAGGAAGCATGGGCACTGGAACAGGAAGAGTGGAATCGGTGATCTGTTAAAATAAAGCAGCAGTGCAAGCAGTGAGTGTACACGCACACACACAACGCAAGCTGCTGCACCATAAAGGTTGGTGGTTAGCTGTTGACCACCAATTAGCATTTTCACCACTTTGTGATCATTTTTTTTTTTTTTATGTAAAACCCTTCTAGACAACCACTGCACGCAAGCTTTAATTTCATCACACATAACTCCTAAGAAAACCCTTTCATGCTTACCGTATGACATCTGAGTAGGCCCATAACCCAAGGTTTTCTCCAATCAAGGAGGGAAGACAGAAGCCGGAAAATACAATAACTGGGAGGTAATATGGGAGTTTCAGGGATGAATTTGACTGTAATAAACAGATTCATGAGCTGCTTCCAAAAGCTCAAAAACTGAGGGTGACATCCAAGCTGGAAGAAGATCAAGGAGGTGGTGAGTGAGCTGGATGTTGGGTGATGAAGGTTCTTTGACTGGGGCATTACCGTAAGCGTAAATAGTAAGAGTTAAATAAGAGATACAGGCACGAGCACAATGCAGTCGGGCTTTGATCCTAAAGTCGGACAGACACTACATTGACTGAAGGAAGCAGCCACTAGCAGGACGGACTGGAGCCCGGAAGGTGGAACTGGTTAGCAGCAAGAAGCTATCAGCGTTTAGACACGGCAAGGGACCTCCTAATTCTTGTCTTTACTTTGATCTGGATCTTGACTCTGGTCGCGCTTCCTATATGCGTCTTCCAGTTGCCTCCCCACTGCAATCGCACGGTCCACTACGACCCTCAGCGGAGGTAAGTTGTACGTCTGCGCGACGTAGATCCCGAAGGTAGTTCCAGCACAGAAGGAGAGAAACGATTTGAACATTCCCATGGCTAGCTGGTTGATGCTGACGACCTGTTTGAACTAAACAGAAACGTTGACTCTCGCAGAACTAAAAAGGAGAATGAGAATATTCCAACAAGAAAGATGACTTGAAAAAGGCCTTAGGTCTCAGATGTTCCTTCGGCATGGTGGGGTTACGACTGGATCTGCGGAATCTAGGGAGCCATGGTTGTTCCTTGTTGGACAAGCAACAGATTTGACTGACGGTTGTAGTACCCGAAGTACAACTTCACGCAGCCTCGCCTCCTCTCTGGTGGTTAGTCCAGCCACGCATTTACGGTACATAATTATCGCGCACCCACCGTTTTGTTTAGTGCTGGAACCACTCTTTGCACCACATGGCCTCGGGAAACCGCAGTGAACGACCAGGACATATTCCAACGAACCTTGTATGGTTGAGGGATATTCGGTAACCGACTAAGATGGGAATCTAATCTCTGTAAATTTATGGTGGAAGTGGACTTTTTAACACATACAATGGAAAATCAAACTGTACCATTTTTTGGTCTAAACAACCATACTTAACCCTATTTCTCACAAGCAGCACAAGCAGCAGACACAAGCAGCAGTCACGTCACATCCGGCGTGCTAGACTGGGCAGCTGAGGAGTCAAATGGCATGCTGCAAAGACAGGCTGTGACACAGAAAGCAGCTGATGAGGAAAGGGATACTCTGCTAAGGGCAGGCCGTCACACAGAGAGCAACTGAGGAGTCAGGTGAAAGGCAGTCACACAGAGAGTGCTGGAAGACCAAAAAAGGAACTCACCGACTTGACTGACAGCACAAGCAGCAAATGCAAGCACGTGCAACCATGTGGCAGATCAGGCAGCTGAGGAAGCAAATGGCAGGCTGTGAACGTGTAGTGCGTAAGAAAGACCATGAACTCACAAAGAGAGTGCCATAACACCAAAGCAACTCACTGATGCATGTCGCAATGGCAAGCAGAAAAGAAGATCAAGGACAAATCGCAAGTCACATGCCCAAAAAGAAGCAGCAGAAGCAAGGAGCAGAGAAAAGAGGTAGCAGGGGCGGGGAGGGGAAGACGAAGGGGTGAGCGAGAGAGGGAATGGAGGAGAGCTGTGAGATGAGGGGTGCACAGAGGGGGAACGACGGATGGTTAGGAGGGGCAGGGAGAGAGGGATGTGGGGGAGGGGGGAGGTGGGGGAGGTTCTGGAGAGGGATGGATGGATGGAATGAGGAGATCAGGGGTGAGCGGAGGGGAGATGTGGGCAGGTTGGGGAAAGGGTCTGTGGAGAGAGGATAGATGGGAAAGGGCAATGAGGAATGAATGGGTGGGGTAGATGAGGGGTGATTGGGGAAACGCGAGGGGAGGGCGAGGGGGATGAAGGGGGTTAGGACGTGGGAACTGGGGAGGGGAGTGAGAAAGTTGAGCGGTGAGGGGGAAAGGTGGGAGGGGCGAGGAGGAAGATGATGTGTGAGTGGGGGGACGGTGGGACGGAGGGAAGGGAGATGATGGTTGAGTGGGGGATGGGAGAAGAGGAGGGGAGGCGGAGTGTGGTGGGGTGATGAAGCGCGGGTGCAAAAAGGGGGGAGCAAGGAAGCGCGCAGAGATAGACGGAGCATGCAATAAAATGAGGGGAGAGGGGGGGAGAAAGGGGGAAGGGGGGGGGGTGGAGGAAGTGGGGTTTGGGAGAGCGGAGGAGATGAGGAACGAGCAGGGAGATGAGGGGAGAGCGCTGAGATGAGGGGAGCGCGCTGAGATGAGGGGAGCGCGCTGAGACGAGGGGAGAGCGGGGGAGATGAGGGGAGCGCGGTGGAGATGAGGGGAGCGCGGGGGAGATGAGGGGAGCGCGGGGGAGATGAGGGGAGAGTTGGGGGATGAGGGATGCGTGATGTGCAGTGATGCGGGTATGGGGGGGAAGGGGGGGGGGGGGGGGGGGAGAACGGAAGGGGTGCGGAGGGGAAGGCGGGCAAAGGGGGTAAAAGGGGAAGAAGGCCACTCTGCCTGTCACCTCTCGCCAGCTCTCTCTGTTATGGTTTTCTCATTACGGGGCCCCAGTAACGACTTTCACCAGTCTATGCCCCCCTTCCCCCGTTCCCTTACCCCTCACCCCTTCCCGCATCCCTTCCCTCCCCTCCCAACATCCCGTTTTGCGCATCGGTCAGGCTATTGTGCCTTCGTATCATGCGTTTGCATGATAGTACGACCGCAATTTTAAATTCCGATTCAAAAATCGCATTTTTAAACGGGCGAAAGCGACGAATATGAGCGGAGATGAGCGTTACTATCCATCCGCAAATACACAAGCAAAAAAAATCGTCAGATCTTACCCCTATTGGTGCAAATCTGGAGAGAAGAACTACAAAGGTTTGACACTTACAGCACTAGGTGTGTCAAGTGGCGAACATTGAAGTAAGAGTGAAGCGCGATCGCAACTAGCTACGGTGGTGAGATCTAACTCAAGTTACGAAAAAAACAATAATAATAATAAAAAATCTTAGGCTCCACGTGATAATGTCCACCGCACTTGCCGCTGATTGATCAAGAATCGGTTAGCGATGGTAACAAGATGTACGGCGATGAGACTAATAATCAAAGCTGCCTCGATCTAACGAGAATAGGTAGCCATTAGCACGGGATAATGGTGGGTGTAAAGGAGGAGGTACGGCAGGTGAGGAACTCCAAGGTTGGGGGGGTTGTTGAAAATGTATGCGGTGGTGGTTGTGTGTGTTGGGATGACGGGAACATTCCGTGCTGCTGTGGAATCAAGCTACATTCCTATTGGCTTGCGGAAATCCCTTCTCGATCCTTCTTGTATTTCCAGCTGCCCGAGTCAGGTTCGGAGGCGCAAATGGAGTTGCGAATAAAAGCTAAACTTCCCGCGCCACGCAGGAGTTTCCTAACCATCCCACCGCCGTCCCGCACCTCACGCAAAACTCACCCAAAAGCTCTATCTTCTATGTATTTCGAAAAGTGCCACGATACCGCCTCCTAAAAAGTTCGAGCCTGCCCCAGCCCAGGCCCATCTTCTTCCATCCACACACCGAACGAGCCCAACAAACCCCTCCGCGGCGATACGCGTTCTCAGCAGATTCGTTTGCATGAAAAGCAAAGCAGACAACAAACTATAAGACTAGCTGCTTTGTGAAGAAAAAAATGTACATCCTGTTTGGATCGGGTCGGCTAAAAAAAAAAAGACCACCTCAAAATGCCACCCATGCAACATTCCCCACGCGACCCGGCAATTTTTTGGATTCGCCGCTGAGGATTGCCCCATTCTGACAGAGATGCCGCCATCAGCCGCTACTACGGCGTTGACCCATCACATTTGGGTGGAGCCACGCTGCAACGCGCCACGGTGGCCGCTACCCAACAAATTCATGGATGAACTGAATTCGTTCAACCAATCACCAATCGGCGGCACCACGCTTCAGTTTCAGAAGAACGCATTTCCTCACAAACAACTCACTGGGATCATCGCAACACTGCCATCGTGGTCTTACGAAGTCGTACTCATGGCGTCCATTTCCAGTTGCTTCCTTGAAGAATTTGACGAAGGATCTTCAGAAAAGCTCCTACTTTCTGAGCTCGTTATGGACTTCAGGCTACTAGCTCCACGGAGCAAACCAATCTATCTGAAGCCACCCGGCTAGTGAACGGGAAAGCCTAGGCATGCGGCGGCGTGAGGTCGAGTAGATCAGGTGTCGGGTTTGGGGTGGGTGGGTAGAGTCTAGACTGAGTGAGCTGCCAAGTGCCTTAGGCTGAACCGTTTACAAAACCGGGTTTTCGCGGCAATCTCTGCACCGCGACGAAATTAAGTTGCTGCTGGCGCGGCCTTCCCAGTCGCTGCCTTACGACAACTCTCAGCAACAAGAAGACCATGTCTGCCTTCCCGGCAAATCCATGATCGCCACGAGATCTTCACGCCAACACGGCGAGATCGCCAATACGGCGAGATCGCCAATACGGGGAGCACAAGTTTCGCCATCACGAAGACCACGTCGGCCTTCCCGTCGCTCTCGGCGGTATTCACCACCAGCACGGAGACGGCGAGTGGAGGTAAGCGCAGCTTATTTCTACTTCTTCCCGTAGCCGTTTTGTTCAGTTAATTTCTTAAGCCGTTCAACAATCTTCAAGTACTAATTTCTGTTTTCTTCCCGCAGACTTCATGGCGACCGACTTGGCGAGATTTGAAGCAACGACGCTACAACTTGAAGCGCCGACGCTAAGGCAAGCTATTCTCGGCAAACTCGAGATCCCACCGCAAGACCTTCACGCCTATACGTCGAGATCGCCAACACGGGGAAGACAAGTCTCAGCAACACGAAGACTACGTCGGCCTTCCCGTCGCTCCCTGCCGGACTTCACCACCAGCACGGAGACGGCGAGTGGAGGTAAGTGCAGCATATTTAGACTTCCTTCCCCTAACCGTTTTTTGTCAGTTCTTAAGTCGTTCAACATTCTTCAAGTACTAATTTCTGTTTTCTTCCCGCAGACCTCGTGGCGACCGACTTGGCGAGACTTGAAACAACGAAGCTACAACTTGAAGCGCCGACGCTAAGGCAAGCTATTCTCGGCAAACTCGAGATCGCACCGAAGACCTTCACGACTATACGGCGAGATCGCCAACACGGGGAATAAGTTTCGCCATCACGAAGACCACGTCGGTCTTCCCCGTCGCGGAGTCGGTCGAATGGAGGTAAGTGCGTATTTTATTCATTTACTTCCTGTAGCCGATTTTAGCCTTTTCTTGTTTTTAGTCGTTCAACATTGCTCAAGTACTAACATGTTTATTTCTTCCTGCAGACCTGTTGGCGACCTCTTGTGGAGAGTTGAAGTGCCGACGCTAAGCACGAAGTGCCTACGTCAAGACTTAATGTGCGGACACTAACACTTGAGCCGGCTACAACACTTCACCTCGTAAATTCAGATTCTACCTGCTACGTCATCAGATTTTACAGTCAACATCTCTTTTTATGCGTAAGCAACTCCATAAGCTTGTAATGCCCAGCACTCCATTTCTTCGAACCTTTGACCACCAAAATGAGACTTACCACCATGAGGTTGCTGTGTAACTAAGCTATAACGGCCGATAGCTTAGTTTCACAGCATCCTCTTGGTGGTTAGTCCCATTGTGATGGTCAAAGACCAAGAGAGATGGAATGCTTGACATTTCAAGCTTTTGGAACTGCTTTCACATTACAAGAGATGTTATCTATTCAATCTGATGAGGTTGTAGGTAGAATGCGATTTTGCGAGGCTGATGTTCACGGCAACACCGCATCAGGCTCGGAACGCAAGATTCGAACCAAGCTTCATGCCTACCTAGAGAGTGATGGTCGATCGGAGGTAAGTTCAACTTGATTCAACTTCTTCATGCAACCGTTTTTGGTAAGCTTCTCAGCATTCTTCAAAATCTAACCTGTTGCTTTCTTCCCGCAGACCTCTTGACGACCGACTTGGCGCTAAGCTCTTCACGACAGTTTCAATTTCTCGCCGAAAGATCTTCACGCCACCAATAGAAGTCGCTGCCGTCTCCCCCCGTCACCAACACGGAGACGATCTTCTTCTTGTCGTCAAGCTTCAAAACGCGAATGAGAGCTTTTACCGTCGCGCGCTTGAAGCTCCAAGCTTCAAGGGGAATGGCGCTTCAAGCTTCAAGTGTAATGGCGATTCAAGCTCTGGAGCGCACGCAGCCCCAACGTGAAAATCGCCGATGGCGCTTCGAGCTCTGGATGCGAGGACCTGAAAGGCTAAAAGTCGCAAGGCCTCGCGGGTCAAGATCGCCTCGCCAGTTGGGGTAACTTTTCTTGTCGTCTTCTCAGTTGACTGGATTCAGCTCGACGTTTCCTCACTTCTTCTCAGTTTTCTCAGTTTACGTTTTATTTAAGCTTTCTAAGTCAACTTGTATATTTCTTCCTGCAGGCCATCTTGGCGACGCGACGACTTGAAAGCGCCAACGCAAAGACTATCAAGGACATGAAGACATGCAAGAGAAGGTTTCAATCGCTTTCCAGCCTTCGCAAGAGGCACCGACGAGACTTAAAAGCCGCCGGGTCAAAGGTGAGTGAAGTCTTCCATAAAGTCTTTTTCCATTATCGCTCTTTTTCGATTCTTTTCCCTTGTTCTCGTTATCCTCGTACTAACGCGCTGCCGTTTTTTCCTGCAGACCGCTTGGCAACTGAAAGCAGAGCTTTTACCCAACGACCGCCAAGACGTCGCTGACGAGACTTGAAGCGATGTCGTCGCCAAGGTTGTCGCCAAGGCCTTGTCGCCGAGATTATCGCCGAGATGATCGTCTTGGCGACCGAAGACGGATACATCGGCGACGTGTTGGTCGCGTGCACGCTGGTCGTGGTCGCATTCGTCGGCGGGTACTCTACCGTCTCACGCCGCGAGGAGACGGCGATGGCGAGCAGGGCTCTACCCTTCGCGATGGGACGGCGACGGCCCACCTGCAGCGCCTCGCTTGACTAAGGTAACGCCCTGTTGAAGTAATTTACTACCCGCAGCGGCTCGCTCGATCCCGTATCCAGTTTCTTGATCTGTTCTTATTTTTTTCACGTACTAACGTGTTGATATGCTTTCTCCTGCAGAGGCCAACGACCACGATGACGTATGGCGACGAATGGCGGTCGCACGGCGACGGGGACTGGTTGGCGGCGCTTCTCCCGTCGGCGTCACATTCGGACGGCGACGTTTCGCGACACTTCGTCCGTCCCGCGGATCTTTACAAGATCCGCTACAAGTAGCGCCTCGCTCAAGCTAAGGTAACGTGTTGTTTCTTGCAGTTAGCGTGTTGTTTTTATGGCCGCTTTCAGATTGTTTTACTTCGTTCTTATTCTTTATCCTTGCAGAGGGTGATCGTCCGCCGGCGTACGGGTGGCGAGGACGGATGGCGACGCAAGGGGACGCGTGGCGCGAGGCACGAAGACGCCTCTTCGGGTGCGGTTCTTCGGCGACGTCTTTTCGGCCGCACGGCGTGTCTCGCGGGGTGCGAAGGCGCGTTTCGCGGGCATAAACGCGTCTCACGGAAGAAAGGCGTGTCTCACGGGCCAAGGCGCGTTTCGCGGGCGAAGGCGGGACTCACGGCGCTTGGCGGCGATTCTCCGAGAAGAGAGTCTCTTTGGTGGTGTTCTATATTTTTGTCTCGTCGTCGCATTTCCTTTCGTGTATTTCGCATTCGATTTCGCATTTGATTTCGCATTTCCTCTCTGCCGTGATGCCATGACGCGTGGAATCGCCATGTGAGCAGTGAGTTTCAAGAAGTTTTCAAGGACTACACCGACCGTCACCGACCGTCAAGCGGCTTTCACGGTAAAAGCCGTCCAATTTCGTTTCGCTGCTTCATTTTCCGTATACTAACGCCTAGTGTCGTGTTCCTCTTAGTGCAGCAGGAGGAGCATGCAACACGACAGCAACTACTAATTAAAGGAGGTAAAGGAGAGCTAGTTCTCCCTCTCCTCTCCTCTTCCCTGGTAAGTAGCGTCAAATTCAGTTTAGTTGCTTCCCCTGCGAGATCTAACGTGCTTGTTGCCTTAGTGCAGAAGGATCCTGAGACAACGGCGGAAGCGGGGGAGGGAGGTAACGGCGACCAAGGGAGGTAACGTGGGGAGGTGGTCTCTTGTGCATGGTAAGTGCCGTCCTTTTCCTGCAAATGTTTTTCTTTTTCCTTGAAGCTAATTTCTTTCTGTGTTCTCTTTTCTCTTAGCGCAGCGGAAGCGCGGGTGGGAGCTCACGGGAACATCACCAGCAATGGAGGTAACGCGGGGGTCTCCCGTGCATGGTAAGTGATGTCGTTTTTTGATAAGTTGTTTCCTTTTCAGAGATTCTAACGTTTTCTGTGTGTGTTCTTCTCTTAGCGCAGCGGAAGCGGGGGTGGGAGCTCGCGGGGTCAGCGGCGAGATAAGGAGGTAACGCAGTGGTCTCCCATGCATGGTAAGTGCCATCCCTTTCCGTTAAGTTTTTTATGCTTCGAAGAAACTAACTTTATTTGAGTGTGCTTTTGTTTAGGGCAGAGGAAGCGGGGATGGGAGCTCGCGGGACCGCAAGGCGACGCTTCTTCGGGGGAGCGGAGCGCGGCGCAGTGTGGCGCATCGGAGCACGGCGCTCGTCGGCGCTTCTCTCTGCTGTGGTGGTTTGATCTTGCCGTCATCGTCTTTCAGCTCGTCAATTTTAAGCTCCTCTCTGTCGTCGCTTTTAACGCGCTGCTTCGTTTTCATGATTACTAATGTACTTTTTAGTTGTCGTCTGTGGTGCAGGAAGTGAAGTCTCCAGGGAGGCTCCGCGTATCGGGCGTGGAGCACGGAGAAGCTGGAGCAAAGGAGCTGGAGCTGAGCAAAAGCGAGGAGCAAGGAGCGCGAGGTTGGAATTTGACTTCCCCCTCCAATGCCGCCCTTCCTGCAGTTTTAGCGGGGGCGGGAGCAACCAGCACAAGCGGGAACAACCAGCGCAAGCGCCAGGCCTGTAAGATGTGTGTGCTAGTGGGTACAGAACGTTTAGGAGCGTTTAGGAACGATTAGGAACCATTAGGAACGTTTAGGAACGCACAGACGGGCGATGGTATGGGTGGTAAAGGTCAGGTATGTCTCTTGACGGCTGGCCGTCCTCTTGACGGCTGGCTGTCATTCTGACCACATTCTGACAACAATCAACGGGGAACCTATCGTGAAATCCGAGTGTTTATTTTCATCTGCCCGTTACTAATTTTTTACCATTTCCCCCCTCCCAAGCACCGCCTCCCCCCCCCCCCCCCCCCCCCCCCCTACCCCCCCCACCCCTCCCCCTCCCAAGCAGGCCCCACGCGAATGACCCTCACCTCATCGTGGTGCGTGGGTGTAACGTCAGGGGCATTTGCCTCTGACGGCCAAGAGGGGTCAAGAAGACTTTCAAGCTGCTGCTGTGGAGGCGCAAGTTTTCAAGGTGCTGCGGAGGCGGAAGTGTTCAAGCTCCGCGGAAGTGTTCAAGCTGCGCGGGAGTGTTCAAGCTGCGCGGAAGTGTTCAAGCTGCGCGGAAGTGCTGCTGTGGAGGCTCAAGTGGATTTGCTCGCACTTCGGAGCTGGAGTACACCTAACCACCGCTAATTTCAACCCCCCAAAATTTTGTCGTACCCACCGAGGGTTGAAATTGGGCGGAGAAAAAATGTTCCCGTTAATTTCAACCCTCGCGTGTGTCACTGTCACGGCTGAGTCAGGCCTCCAAGGTTTGTGGAAACCCGAGCGCCGAGTAGGGAGCCTCGATCATAAAATCCTGGTTGTGCTATTTTCCGTTAAGATCACTCTCGGTTAAATTCGACTGGAATCTGGAAATGTTTCAGGAAAATGAAAGGTCTCCAACCTAAACATGGAAAAGAATAAGTTAGGGCACAAACTTTTACAATCAAACCATTGACAATCTAATGGCTTATAACAAACAGAGGACAAAGATCACAGCGAAAGGGCAGCTTGTGCCCAATGCACCAAATCAGGGTTGAGCCTGATTCCGCGACGGCGCTCATTAAAGTCGCCCAAAATTGGGCGAAGCACTCGCGCGTAGTGCGAATTGGTGAGCCAATCTTCAAAGTTGCGAACTATTTCGGCTGCCTGCTGTCGGGTGAGGGGGGTGTCAGTTGGCGGCGCATCGTTGAGATCAAAAGGAGCTGGGAACCTCCGTGGAAACGGGACCCATTGACCTACACGCTCTTTTGGCAACCAATCGTGCATTGATCCGTCCGTGGGGAAGTGGTCGTCGAACGCGATGAATTGCCGTCCGGTCATTGGAGGGGTGTCAAGTTTCAACTTGCCGATGAGCTTGGTTAGAAGTGTCACGTCTTCGTTCGGTGGATCACGCAGGGGTCCCTCAAAAATACGCCCCAACCCCCACTCCGATAGCCACGAGAACGGGATGATTCCGGCCCGACGCCAACACCGCCTTACCACCTCACCCTCAGAAGAGTTCCATAGCCCACTGATCCATATTATAGCCATTCGCAAATCAGGTCTCACGTTGATCTTCTGCACGGGTAGCTCGGCCGCTACTTGGTCTCCGGCGCAAAAGGATTTGGAACGTAAGCGGTACATTCTCGACATTCTTCTTAAGCGCCCACTCTCGTAGGCGTGTCTCCAAAGCGGGATAACGTCCTGCGGTCAGACGCTTACGCGTGTCCTGAAGCAACGTCCTTCCCGTCCATCGAGCACCGTATTTGAGAAATCTTAGAGACGGTTGTGTGGTGAGGCGTTTTGCTAAAAGTAGTGTCCAACCATTTCACAAGCTCTTTGTGAGTGATTCCATGGTTTTTGCTATGGTGCTCCACCAGAGCCCTCTTCTCGGCGATAGTAAGAGCGGTATTGCGTCGCGCAGTAGGCATGGCGGTGACAACCGTAGATGGAGTAGTTAACTTGAGTGGGAGAGATGTGAGTTTTTGTAAGCTCGCGGGATGTCGAGAGTAATTTTGTCAGCTCTGGAGCTGTCTGGCATTTCGTCAGTGCGCTTGGTTGTGGATGGTTTGGTGCGCAAAATTCTCCTCCGTAGAATGTGTGGCGATTCCGGGAATCTGACGTGACAATGTGCTCTGAACATTTCAAATTTCTCTCTTGTGGTCATTGCATTGACTGTCGCGGAAATTTGAATCACCAATGGGTTTCATGCACGTCACATTCGTCCCCCTTGACGACATTGTTGTTGCACCCTTCAGCCATAGGTTTTTTTTTCCGCACCTAGGTTCCCGAAATGGAGGTGCGGTGCATTCCGCACGCTCTGGGGCGCTCTGTTCTGTACATGCTGACGCGGAAATTCAGTTTCCAGCGCATAAAGTCTGTGTTCACGCACATGGCATTACACGTCAGCACTGTACACAATCGGGGCACCCCTCAGCCCACCAACTGAGTCGCGACAAAAGGGGTTGAAAATAGACCGAAAGAAAATAGCGGTGGTTAGGTGTATAGAAAGCTTAGCTGACTTGTTAGAAAGCTTAGCTCACTTGTATCTATTTATCTAACGAAATAGAGTTGGTACTTTCTACGCGTTGGACAGAGTTCTGTCGTGAAACTCAAATTAATCTGCTAAAATGAATACAGGTTCAGTTTGCATCAACAAAAGAACGGGTAAAATACGGTGGCTTGAAGTTGGAAAGATTGGCGCAACTTCAGCGCAGCAATTAGCGCAACTTGCGCAACCATCAGCGCGATCATCAGTGCTACTACCGGCGCGACCATGGCGCCCCATCAGCGAAACGATTTGCGGGACCGTCAGGGTAGCAATCAGCGCAGTCACCGACTCTACTATCAGCGCAACCATCAGTTCCTGGATCCGCGCAACGCCAGAGACGTTCGACGGTCATCGCGTCGAGCTAGCCTAACAGACGTTCGTCGTTAGCTGGACGTAATCCGTTTCGTATGGCTCGTCGCGTGGCTCGTCGTAGATGCTGACATCCCGGCTCTTGAGGTGCCTCTAAGGTCTTCTAGTCGTGTCTCTGAATCGTTACTGGTTTCAATGACTACATAAGTGGAATTCGTTTCGCGATTGGCACGGTAGCTGTTGACATCTCGACTGAAGGAAGATCGTGGTAGGTCATGGAAGGAAGGGTTCTTGTGGGTCTCCGCCGTCACCCAGCCTTCAAGTTTTTATTACTTCACTCAACACAAGCCCCTGAACTCCCTTAGCGTCCGCATCTCCCAACCATACCTACTTCTGCACCTCCTTCAACCCGCTCTTCTCACACCTCCACCTTTCCACACCTTCTTCAGGCCGAGAGTTGGGTCTTACCAAGGTAGAATTCAGGCAGTTAAAAAAAGGAACAAGTAGACGTGCCAGTGACCAGATGCACCTGTGGGTGCGCAACCAGGACAGCCACAACTCCACTGTGTTTGAGGTACGTGCTTTGGGTGGTGGTGGGCATTGGGCGTTCCAGGGTATGAGACAGACAGTCACTTACGGTAATAAGCATCCTGCGAATCATCAGTGAAGTAAGTGTGCGGCTGCTCCCCCCCTTATCCCTGTATCCAAACCCTCTCTCTCCTTCCGCCCTGCGCAAAGAACCTTCCTCGCCAGAGTGTGTCACAAACGGACCCTTTGAAATAGCCCCGCGCTTCTCCTTAGAAGTGAGTGTGAGGCTGCTGGGGGCCTGGCGCTGGGCTTCGAGGTGGCGCACATTTTTGGGAAGGATTCGTGCCTTGTGCTGTGCCTTCTGCCCCTCCCTTTGGCTGTCTATCATTCCCTTGCTCCACTCGCTCCCTCATTCCTTTAATCCTTCCTCTCCCTTTCACTAGGAATGCATCACTGGCAGCCCCTTTGTGATACCCCACGCATCACCTTTGAACTGAGTGTGGCTGCTAGGATGCCTGATGGCATTGGACTGCGAGATGGCGCACATCTTCAGGTCCCATCTCTGCACAATTCGTGACATTGCCTACTCAGAAACCCTTCCTGCTATTGTAAAATAACAAAACATTGGAGGAATTTTCCCATCTTGCACAATTGTGACATTGCCTGCTCAGGAATCCTTCCTGCTAGTGCAAAATAACAGTGTATTGAGGAATTCTTTCAAGGCCTCACGTTTCTGCCCCATAGGTTCAATGCACTGGTCTGGTTCTGACTGATCTTATTCGTGGCACATACATGCCCCATAGATTGAGGCAGGGTAAGAATATTTCGTTTTCATTAAAATGCAAAAATTGTACAAAACTGGAGAGGGGCAAAATTAGCTATTTACCGTACGAGCATCTAGGCGTCATTGAGAGCAGCAACACCTGGCAACACCTTGCCCTCGAGAAGCTCCAGGGAGGCACCGCCACCGGTGGAGATGTGGCTCATCTTGTCAGCCACTCCCACCTTCTCAACAGCCGCCACGGAATCACCGCCACCAATGATGGTGATCACGCCCTTGCCGCTCAGATCCGCGAGCTTCTTCGCGACGGCCTCGGTACCGACGGCGAACTTGTCGAACTCGAACACACCCATCGGGCCGTTCCAGATGACGGTCTTGGAGGTGTCGAGCGCCTCGTTGAACGTCTTGACGGAGTCAGGGCCAATGTCGAGACCCATCCAGCCGTCGGGGATTTCCTTGGCCGACACAATCTGCAGTGAGGAGGGAAGCAGAGAGTGGAAGGTTGCAATCAGGTTTGAGTTCTTTCATCAAATGGATAAATTTATGTCACAATGACGTATTATTCAGTCAGAATGGTAAGTCCCGGAGTGTGTAGCCAACAAACTTGGACGAATGAAGAACCCGGAATGTGCGATAATCAAGGGAGAACAAAAGAAAATGCAACCAAGAAAGGTAAAGGAAAATTTCCCCGAGCAACGAACCTGGGAGTTGGCGTCCGGGGCGAACTTGTCAGCAATGACAACATCGGTGGGCAGCAGCAGCTTGACGCCCTTCTCCTCCGCCTTCTTGATCAGGCTCGTCGCCAGCTCCACCTTGTCCTCCTCCACCAGCGACGCGCCAGTCTTGTACCCGAGCGCGCGGTAGAAGGTGAAGATCATGCCGCCGCCCAACAGCAGAATGTCGCACTTGGCGAGCAGGGATTCAATCACGCCGATCTTGGAAGACACCTTGGAGCCGCCGACGATCGCGGCGAAGGGGCGGGTGGGGTTGGCGACGGCGCCATCGAGGTAGTCAAGCTCCTTCTGGAGCAGGAACCCGGCGACGGACGGCTTGAGGAACTCCGTCACTCCGGCGGTGGAGGCGTGCGCCCTATGCGCCGTGCCGAACGCGTCGTTGACGTACAGGTCGGCGTTGGCCGCGAGCTTCTGAGCGAACTCCTTGACGTTCTTCTCCTCCTCGGGGTAGAAGCGGACGTTCTCGAGCAGCACGACTCCGCCGTTGGGGAGCGCCGCGACGGCCTTCTCGACCTCCTCGCCGATGCAGTCGCTGGTCTTCTCGACCTTGATGCCCAGCAGCTCCGACAGGCGGTTCACGAGCGGGGTCAGGCGGAACTTCTCAGTCACACCCTTCGGGCGACCCTGGAATTGAAGAAAGAAAAAAATGGATGAAAGAATGTTGCACATTAGAAACATTAGAGACAGAAATTCGATACGTACAATAGATTGGAAACTAACAATTCGTAGTGGTAGTCAATGTTGAAAGGACAAACAGCGACTAGGCATCTCTTTGCAGCCGGAACCGGGCCGTGTCAATGTTTAGGAGCATGTCAAATGTTGAGAGCGTATGTTTCTTACCAGGTGGCTGGTGAGGAGGACCTTAGCGCCCTTCTCCATGAGGTATTTGATGGTCGGCACGGCGGCGCGGATACGCGTGTCGTCGGTGATGTTGAAGTCCGCATCGAGCGGCACGTTCAGGTCCGCGCGCACGAACACGCGCTTGCCCTTCAGGTCCGCCTCCGTCAGCGAACCCACGCTCTTCTTCGCCATGGTTACCACACCGCGGGTGCCCTTGCCCGCCTTGGCGACGTGCGAGGCGACGGCGGAGTGGATGTCGTGCTCAACGGCGAAAATGTTGGCGAACTTCTGGTTGTCCTTGTTACCAGCGACCAGGCCGTTGAAGGACCTGATGCCGGCGGACGCCCTGACAGAGCTGGAGCCAGCGCTGCTGCCCTGGGAAAGGGCCGCGCGGGGCGCGACGACCACCTTGGAGGAGGTAGCGACGGTAGCAGCCATTCTCAAAGGATGTCTGAGAAATGGATGAGAGGTAGTCGCAGGAAGCAGTAGACTAGCTGCTGCTCTGTAAATGCGAAGAAACGCCGTTTAGATTACCCAAGAAAAAGTTTCTTCTGGATACTTATAGAAGACAAAGCTAGCCTGAATGTGCCTGGTCCGTTCCAATGCCACATCCAAGATAGTAGCTCCAGTGCGCTCCAATCCTGCCTGACTCCTCCTGAGTCGTGACTCCTCTCCACGCATCACGAATCTGGATTCGTGGAGTTGCTGGCTGGGAGTCCACAATAGCAGCGAGTGGCTGGGAAGCAGCCATGGCTGTCTGAGTGGAGGTTTGGTGGTGGACGGAGGAAAGCGCGAAGGTAGGCGAAATCTCGATTAGTTTCGCAGATGAGGCAATGATTGCGAAAGAAGTCTTGCGAATGCCGCGTGTGCAACGCGAATCGCTACGTATGGCGCAAATGGGGACTCAATTGACACGTCAGCCGCAATGTCACACAAAACCACGAGTTTCCATATCCACATTTCTGTGCCTATCTGTGTTGAGAAGCTTCCGCGTGGCAAAGATCTATCCGATGTGGCTGCTCTTGCATTACGACACCTGGAAATGCTGACATGGCGGATCTCAACCAGCAGGCAAGTCTCCGTTACAGCGAAGATCGAGGGTACACTGGAAACCAGCGCGTCCAATATGTAAAACATACAAGAATAATCCAGCATTTCACAAGAAAATGGATGCTACAGTTCCTTATGCATGAACAGTACACTTTGGTGACAACTGCTATTTGACGTTTTACGTTTACTGAAACACCACTGTATATCACAACTGATCCACCCCTTAGCCGAAGCCAAAGCCCTCACTGGCTTCGTGAATGGCCAACAGAAGTCGTTCTTGTAACTGCTCCTTAGTGCTGTACTCCGGAAGGTCCAATTGGTTGAAACTGTTACAAGCGCAGGGAAAGGGTGGGATATGAGTAGCTTACGATACTAGCACTTCACAACATCAAGAAACTACAAGAGGTACATCAAAGAAACATGGACAACAGTGCCTACACGTGAGAGAATCTTGGGAGAAAATGGGACGGGGTGGAAGTTGGGGAGGGGAGATTTGGGAGCGTGGGAGAGCTGAGTTAAATTCAGGGATGAGGAGAGTGGGAGGTCACGCACCATGTGTGAGCGGAGGGCAACCTCTTGTTGTCGCCATATGCCTTGTGGATCTGGAAGCGTTGCTGACCCGACAGCCCTTGCAAAGCCTTAAAGCCTTCCAAAGGAACCTGCCAGGGAGGTACAGAGGAGAGTGCAGCAAGAGGGATATTTGAAATAGGTCGGGTCGGGTCACGCTCCATGTGAGTGGTGATGCCCTGGACGTGTCTCCTGCGCTCACCTCACCTTGGAAGTGCCAGTGACAATCTGCAGCACACGGGCCCTGTTCTCCTTGCAGTGTGGTGGTAGCTGAAAAGTTCCCTTCTTTACTCGCTCCTTTAATATGCCTCCCTCTGCACTCATCTCACCTTGAACGGGCCCCCCTCCTCTCACCTTGGACGTGCCAGTGACGAATTGCAACAGGCGAGCCCTGTCCTCCTTGGAGAGGTGAGCCACCACGTCCCAGAACCACTGGATCTGAGGGGACCCTGCTGTGTACCCCGTGTAGTCCGTGTTGCTCCGTAGGTCGTCAACTGGCAAAGGAGGGGACAAGCAAGGGGGAAGAGTGTGCGAGAGAACGAGAGAAGAGACGGGATGAAATGGCAGGAGAGGCTAGGAACCGCCATGTATGTACCCCATGTACACCCCACTGCCATCCAGCCCCGGGCTGTTCATACTGTGTTTTGTGACATTCCAGACCAGACCAGACCAGACCAGACCAGACCAGACCAGACCAGACCAGACCAGACCAGACCAGAAACACACCTAACAACTGCCATCCGCCAATCTTAGCCCAGCCCGTAGAAAACTCACTGTCAATCTCAGGCAATCCAGAAATGAGCAGCTCGAGCTCCTTGTCGTTGAACATAGCGATGAGGTCTTTCGGGATGAGCTCTGTGAATCCCTCCATGAACGCCGCGATCTGCGGGCGGATGGCAGCTGTCATGCGGTAGTCTGCGACGGCGTCTACATACTCGTGCTTGTTCTCCTCCGTCACTCGGATGTTGCGGCCTCCGGGAATGAGTTCGTGGTCCGTCACCTGTTGGCAGAGGGGCAGGGGGGAGTAGCAGGGAAGATGCATGAAGGGCAGTTGGCGTCATGCGGTAGTCTGCGACGGCGTCCACATACTCGTGCTTGTTCTCCTCCGTCACCCTGATGTTGTGGCCCCCTGGGATGAGCTCATGGTCCGTCACCTGTTGGCAGAGAGGCAGGGAAAGGTAGCAGGGGAGAGGCAGAGGAGAGGCATTGAGGGGCGGATGACAGCCGTCATGCGATAGTCTGCCACGGCGTCCATATACTCGTGCTTGTTCTCCTCCGTGACCTGTTGGTTGGATGCAGAGGAGGCAGGTGGAGTGGAGGAGACAACTTCGTGCAGATGGGAGCCAGTGAATCAATCCTAACGTCTTGAGAATAGCAAACATCAACAGTGGTGAACAGTGGTGGGCAATGGTGGACAATGGTTGACAGCGGTGCACAGCCCAAGTCAACAGCACCCCTCTGGCTCACCTCAGTGCACTCGTAGAGAATGCGCTTATCCTCATCACATTACTGCTCACCTCTGCTCGGCCCCTCTGCTCGGCCCCTCTGCTCGGCCCCCCCTCGTCTGCTCGCCTCAGTGTGTTCGTAGAGAATGCGCTTCTCCTCATCCGCGTCCATGCTGAACGTGAGGTCCAGGATGTCACTTTCACCTCAAGTCAAGGCGGTCAACCCAAGTCAACAGCACCCCACGGCTGCAACCCCCAGCCCTGCTGCTCACCTCAGTGCGCTCGTACAGAATGCGCTTCTCCTCGTCTGCGTCCATGCTGAAAGTGAGGTCCAGGATGTCGCTGATGTCGTTCTGGTGGAGGGAGAGAAGGGCGGGGGAGGCGAGAGGGTGGTTCGTAGAGGACACGTGGTGGCACAGGGGTAACTCTAGTTTTGAGGCGCCTCAAAACTAGGGTGGTTCGCGCGTAGAGGACACGTGGTGGCACAGGGAGAAGGGCGTCCATGCTGAACGTGAGGTCCAGGATGTCACTGATGTCGTACAATGTGCTTTCACAGTACAATGTGCCCTGCCATGCCATGCATCCCCCCCTCCCCTCACCTCGAGCATCCACTGCAGGTTCTTGTAGTAGTCCAGGTCGATGGCCTCTATGTCATGGAACGTGACCTTCACGCCCAGGTTAAGGCACTGATGCGCTCTATAATGCAACAGCATGCACCTAACCTACAGCAAGTTGCAGCCTACAAGTGCAGCAAACAATCCCACACCACACGCACCTCGAGCATCCACTGCAGGTTCTTGTAATAGTCGGGGTCGATGGCCTCTATGTCATGGAATGTGACCTTCACGCCCAGAATGTGCTTGTAGAAGGAGCGCGTGAAGTGCACATCTAATAACTGCCCATCGTACAATGCCTTGGCCACCTGCACACAAAGATTGAGTTTAGGGTTAGGATGGGGAGCAGTCAAGGGGAGGTCGGAAGTGGGTTGATGAGTTATAAGATGACCCTCACGCCAAGTATGTGCTCGTAAAAAGGAACGAGATACGCGTTAGCTGTTATACGACGTGCATATCATGCATAGAGACAGAAAAAAAGTGAGGATTAGGATGCTTGGTTTGGGCTGGAAGGACGTGCCAATGGGTGACGAGCACAGAGTTTAGGCGCTGAATAACCGTCTCAACCTTTTTGAGGAGCCACGAAAATCGCCTCGTTGGAGTTGGAGCTGGAAGGAGGTGTCGTTGCCAACAGTGGTGAAGAAACGAGCGTATTTGTCAAACACCACAGCGAGCAGCACAGCGAGCAGCACAGCGAGCAGCACAGCGAGCAGCACTTACCAGCGCTCAGCCAGCCAGCCAGAAGAACCTAAAAGCAGGTTCAGCAGCACTCACCACTCGGCCAACAAACTTGAAGTAGGAGAGGTGGCCGGGTTGCAAGACCGAGTTGGGGTTGGGCTGGAAGGAGGTGTCGTTGCCGACGGTGGTGAAGAGCAGAGCGCTCTTGTCAAACACCACAAAGACCAGCACTTACCACTCAGGCAACAGCGCCTTGAAGGAGGTCCAGTAGCACTCACCACTCGGCCAACAAACTTGAAGTAGGAGAGATGGCCCGGCTGCAGCACAGAATTAGGGTTGGGCTGGAAGGAGGTGTCGTTGCCGACGGTGGTGAAGAGCAGAGCGCCCTTGTCAAACACCACTCGCGACAGCTGCTGGTACCACTCGCGTGTCACGCCCCCCGCGTCGATGCCCTCCTCCCCCTGGAAGTGCACGTTCAGCCGCCCCCTCAGCTCCTCTGCTGTGCGCATGCGCAGCTGCGGGAGTGGTGCAAGGGGGGATGGGAGAGGGAGAGGGAGAGGGAGAGGGAGAGGAGAGAGAGAGAGGGAGAGGGAGAGGGAGAGGGAGAGGGAGAGGAG